GAGGGATGCAAGAGGAGACCTTTGCTGAGCAGTGCATCTGGGGGTGGGCTTGCCGGTCAAGGAAAGGCCTTATGAAACTGAGCACCTGTGCTGTCTTGTTTCAGTTTTGCCTACAGCCTTGTCCTGAGGGGCTTCTGTGAAATAGGGATTTTGAATGCCCAGGGGATTATTGGGATGAAAGAAGCATTGCAGGTGAAGTGCTTCCAGAGCCTGTCCACGCAGGCCCTCAGCAGCTTTGCAGAGGTCTCCCAAACCCCCTGAGGTCCTCTGGCAGTTTGCTGGGACCCGGACTCAGACCTTGGAGGAACGATGAGTTGGGTTTCTGTCCCCGAGACTGGGAATGGCAGGATGAGAAGTTCGGGTACTCTGTGTGAGCTGCTTCCCCTATGTCTGTGGAGGGTGTGGGCCCTTGACTTGGATGCAAGTTGTGAGGTTTGTGGTAGAGTTAGAAGGTTTACCCACAGGTGGATAATGTGCCAAAGCGAGCTGTGATACAGGAACATACGCCGATGTGGGGCGTGGGGTGTGCCTCAGATGAGATCTCCTGAGACTGGTGTGTGGGGTGTATCGAGCCATGAGAGGGATGCAGTTGTGTGACTGTGAGGCCCCTGCAGGTATGTTTGTGTAACTGAGGTGTAGTAAGTGGGTGAGTGTGTGCTGGGCTGTGTTGTGTGTAAGCTCAGTGAGCATATAGGTTGGGGTTGGTCAGTGTCAATTTTAATCATGTGTGTGATGCGTGTGTGGGAGTGTGAATAGGTGTGTGTTTATAGGGGTGGCTGTGTGCTGGGATGTGTTGTGTGTGCATGAATTGCTTGTTATTTGTGAGTGTGTATATGTGTGGAGAGTGTATATACTTGGATTGTATGTATATGTGATGCTTGTGCCTATATGGGGTGTGTATAGGTAGGGTATGGTAGTGTGTGTGTATGTGTTGGGAGTGTATATGTTTGAGGGTATGGATATGTGGGTTGTGCAAATGTAGGGTATGTGTAGTGTGTGTGCATGTGTGGGGAGCATATATATTTGGGTTGTGTGCATATGTGGGGTGTATATATGTAGAGTATGTGTATCTGTGCGTGTGTGTATTTTAGGTGTGTGTGTATGTGTATGGAATATGTCCATATGTGGGGTGTGTATGTGTGGTGTGTATATTTGGAGTATGTTTGGGGGGTGTGGATATATGGAGTATGCCTGTGCAGGGTTTGTATATGTGTGGGATGTGTGTACAGGAGGTGTGTGTGGTGTGTATGTGTGTATGGGATGTGTGTGTGTATCAGATATAAAAGGGTCTGAGCTTACCTGGAGAAGGCCAGGGAGGGGCTGCCAGGACTCAGAGACATTTGGATTCCGTTCTCCTTTAAGGGGATTGCATGAATAATTATGCTAATTATGCATAGAATAATGCAAATTAAAGAGGTCATTTGGGGGTCAAAGGCTGTTTGTCACTCTTCTTGCTCAGGCACTTTCTGAAGCTTCCACCATCGCCATTTCTCTCCCCTTTCCTTTCTGTCCCCTTGAGAGCTACTGCTGCCAGCACCTCTACAGTGGTCCTGCAGAGACCCCTCCAGGCCATAACCCCCAGCTGCCCAAAGACAGGCAGAGCTGGTGAGATGGCATGCCAGAGCTGGGCAGGTTTCAGATGCTACCTTTAGGGCCCTGCTGGGCTTTCCAGGGCTAGTTCGGGGTGATTGGGTTACTGCCACCCCCACCCGCACCTCTCGTGTCAGGACTGTTTATTATTCGGAAAGAATGTTCCCTTGGATGCAGGTTTGGAAAATCAGTGAGGTGGCCCCTTCCCCAGCTTTGTCTGATCAGCATGAGGCTAAATTAAGATGTGAGAGAATTCTCTCCCTCTGCCTCCCACTCACTTTTCCCCCCCTCCTCTCACAGAGCCCCTCCTCTAACCCCCACCGCACCCTGTCTTCCTCTCCTGACCCTCTGCCCCTGGGTCTACTCTGTCCTCTACTGCTATCCCTGTCCCTTTGCCTACCCTTCCCTGACATCCTCTCTGTTCTTCTCTTCGTCTACAATCTCTCTCTCTCCACCCCCCCCATCTCTGTGGGGAGCTGGAGCTCCTGGTCCTTAGCTTGGAGGAGATGGTCGCCATGGTAACGGTTGTCATGTCGATGGCTACTGAGCTAGGGATGAATAGTATCTAGGTGAGAGCTACCTGAGTGGAGGTTGATGGATTCACAGGAGGCTCCATGCTTGTCTCTGAGCCTCAGAGCTGCACAGTATGTCCCCCCCTCAACCTTTCAGCCCCCGGGCATGCACCTGTTTGTACCAAGGAGCATGCTGACTGCACACTGTCTGTGATAGTGTTTAAAGGTGTTGTCTCTCTAGGTTCCTAGATGTGTCATTTCAATGGTCTAGGGCCTTCAGGAGGTTGTTGGATTTGTGCAGGTACTTCTAGGAAGGAGGTGAGGAATCACAAGGACTCTTTGACACAGGCCCCGACTTTGACCCTTGTTTAGGGACTGTCAGGGATTAGACTTCTCCACTGAGCTCTAGGCCTGTGAGCAACTCCTTGCCTGCGTGGAAGGATGGGAGAGCTGTGACAGCCCTGCTCATCAGCCAGAGTCTGAACCCTGCTTCTTCCTCTCCCACCCTTGGTGTGGCCGGTGCAGAAGCTACTTGGCTAAGATCTGGATGGGACAGAGCTGAGCTCATCTGCAGGACCATGGTGTGGCTAGTTAACCACGGGTGTACAGGCTCGCAGTGTGGGGAGCCTTCTGGTCCCCACCTTGGCTCCTATATTTGTTCTGGGGAAGAGAAAGAGAGATGGGAGGTGGGGAAAGTTGGATGATAGCAGCTAGGAGCTCCTGAAATGTCTAAAAGGGAGGAAGACCCAGCAATTAGTCACGGGAGCAATTACACTAATTGTTCCACTCCATGACTCATTGGTAGCAAGTAAATACTGATTAATTCATTACTTAGAGACTGTGTGTGTGTGTGTGTTTTGGGGGGGGGTATCTTCTGGCCTCCTGCCCTGGGCTCCTGCCCTGACTGAGCTGGGTTGGGCTTTGGAGCAGGTGGTCCAGGCTGGGGGCCGGAAGCCAGGATGGAAATTCTGTAATAACCTCTCTCTGGCTCTGTGCAAACTCTACAAGGGGGGCTGTCAGTGGCAGGTGTGTGTCGCCTGAACACAGTATATAGTGCCAATCCAGTTCCTCTCCTGCTCACACATTTTGTGTGGCTCCCTGCTGCTGGCAACTCTAACCCCTTTCTCCCAGAGGTCACACAGTGCAGACTCTTGGGCTCCACCCACAGACACACTGAACTTGGGTCCAACTTTCATGGAATTTTGCTGCGAAGCCAGCATTTAAAAGGACTGTTTTCGAAGATCTGGTTCTCAGCTGGACACCAAGAACTTCTGTGACTTGGCCCAGCTGAAAACTTCACCTCCACTCCAGCCACCCCTGCCCACTGTGCCCCAGGACTCAGTCATGTTGTCCTCCCTAACAGTCATTACTGTCCTTGCTTTCATCCAGGCTACGGGCATGAACAGGGATACACACACGCAGCCACAGCTCACACCATGTGATAACTGCTGTGGATTCAGAAGCCCAGGATGCTCTGAAAGACAGCAGGAGGGCTTCTCTCACACAAGCGACATGGGAGCCAGAGCTAGTTGGCAAAGACTTAGGGGGACAAGGGGAGGGCAGGAAGGGTCTTGTAGATAGAGGGCATGGCATGCACAAAGGAGGCAGGGAAGACCAATTGTCCGGAACTGGTGGGGCTGTGGCTGGAGCGCGTGTGCAGGGCATTGGGGAGGGCTGCTCGGCAAGCACAGACTGTACCTCCCGCCTCAGAGCCTCTGCTTGTTCTGTTTCCTCAGCCCCAGATGCCTTTCTCTTTATTTCAATTATTTAAGACCCAAGTGCCACGTCTTCCATATCCAAGCAGCATAAGTTAAGGTCACCTTGGGGACAGAGACTGTAGCTGGGCTCGGTCTGGGAGCAGGGCCAAGCCTGCCCCTCGGAGGGGGTTTGAAACTCCTGCCTGTGAAGTTATTGGCACTGGCTCCAACCCCAGGCTTGGAGGGTGGGGGGACCCAGAAGTTGCAGACCTCAGCCTTCCCAGGTCCCAACTCTGGGAGGACTTGGACCTGGACAGCTAAGCCCAGGACCACTGTCATCACTGCTGACCCCCTGGAGACCCTCCTGGCAGATGTGGAAGGTGCAGCCAGGCTCTGGCCTAGCTCTAGATGGCTAAGATACTTGGAGACTGACTGGGTGGGCACGGGGGTGGGGTGGGGGCTGAGAGGATCCAGGGGCCAGAACTGGAGCCTTTTCCACCCCTGTCCCCGCCACTCCGAGACACTTCCTTCCCAGAGCCCCACATTTCCTCAGTCCCTATCTAATGATGCTAACTGGGATTTTGAGATAAGGGGTGGTAGCAACAAGCAGAGCCTTGGTGACCTTGGGCACCTGGGCCTCAGTTCTCTTGCCTGTCGGTGGCCCTGAGCCCACTCCCCTCCTCCCTTGTTGGCGTCTTGAGCTCTTTCGTCCGTGGGAACTTGTCTGTGGAAGGCATCGTGTGAGGCGGGAAGTGATGGTGACGCTGACCACACAGGTAACCTGAAGCAGGTGCCTGTGTGGGTCAGGACTGTGCTCAGTACTACAGCCTCCTCTGCTCACAGCTGCCTTTAGCTTGTTTTACAAATGAGTAAACTGAGGCACAGGGAGATGATGTAGTTTGCTGCAGTTCATGCATTTAAGCGATGGATTCAACTCCGGCCCTCCAGGCCCAGAGTCTGCTCTCTCAACAGGGCTCTGTTACCCAGTGGTTCCTGTCACGGGATGGGAAATTGCCAGGGGTTTCTAGCAGTGGCCTTCAGGAAGAGGACAGGGGTTGCGCCCCTGGAATGGGCAGGGAGAGGGATCAGGTCCGCCCCGCCCCCACGTGCACCCGGGCTTGTATCCCCGCCCCTCTGGGCGGGTCCAGGATGCTGTCCCCGATGCTGAGCGCCACGCCCCTTCTCTCCTTCCCAGGCTCAGCGCTGGCGCAACGAGAACTTCGAAAGGCCGGTGGACCTCGAGGGCTCTGGGGACGACGACTCCTTCCCCGATGACGAACTGGATGACCTCTATTCGGGGTCTGGCTCGGGCTGTAAGTAACCCTTCCTCTCCCTGTAAGGAACTGCAGCCCTCTTAGGTCTTTGAGATAGGCAGTACGTGGGGGTGGAGGTGGGGGCTCAGGCAGTGCCTTCATGAACCCCTAGAACAAGAAGGAAATTGACCCTCTCGGCCAGAACTGTGACCAGAGGAATCCCAGTTCTCCTTGGCTTTGCCACTGCTCTACAGCTCTACCATCCACTAGGTTCAGTAAGGACACAGCGACCCCTTGAAAACCCAGCTCTCAGGTCACTGTCCTAAGCACTGGGAGGGATTTAGTATGTCTGGAGCTTTAACCTGAGATGCCAATTGGAAGGTTGGTGGTTCGAACCCAGCTGCTCTGGGGGAGGAAAACGTGGCAGTTTGCTTCTGTAAAAGTCCCTCCTTCGGACACCCTGTGGGTCAGGGCTGTTCTGCCCTCCTGGATCGCAGGTCAGAGTTCTCTGGACCACCCCGGGTTGGGTTTGCAGTTACGGGCCCACACCTCATCCAAACACTTGTGCTCAAGGGGTGGGGTTAGGGATGCTCAAAGAAAGAGAGCGACAGAGACAGGGACAAGTTCTAATTCCTGCTTGTTATTTAACACCTGTGTGCCCTTTAGCAAGCTGATTCCCTTCTTTGAATCTCTGTACTCTTATCTGTAAGGGAAGATAAGAAGTATATCTTCCTCACAGCCTCTGTGAGCATTTAAGATAAGACGGGAATCTGACACAGAGCTCTAAAAATAGTAAGGAGAACAAAAAGGGGGAGACTGAGATTGAGGCCAGTGAGAGTCTAGGACTGTGTCTGAGGATATGGTCCTCTAGTTCTTCCCCCACCCTCCTCTCTGCCTAGTCTAGGCCTCAGGAGTTGGCCGTGGTCTCCCTCACTTCCTCTCAAAACCATTGATGCTTCAGGTCTTTGAGTCAGATTGCTCAAGCTTTCTCCTGAAGGAAGTGCCCCTTCTCCCGGTGCCCTTGCCCTCCCGGTGCCCTCTACCTGGGCCTCTGGGGAGCCCTTAGTGGACCTTGTGTTTGTGGGTGTACCTTGGTTTGATTCCCCTCCCTCCTCACAGCCTGCACCCCTTCCCCACCAGGTGAGCTTTGCGTGAAGGCCTCAGTTCCGTGGGCTAGACTGACCTGACAGGAGCTTGGGGCTGGGTGGGCTGGAGGGACAGGGAAGGTTAAGCAGAGAGGACTTGGGGGCACATGCACTGGCTAAATGGTAATCTTTGACCAATCCATGCCTTCCTCCTTTCTCTCATCTTGTCTGAAATGTGGGCAATGAGAGGGGATTGGGAGCCCCTCATCTTGATGGCCATTGCTCGCTCATGTGGGATCCTCGTACCCTGCACTGGCTCCCAGCTCCCTAGCTCTCTCCCTCTCCCCTACCCCTCAGACTTCGAGCAGGAGTCAGGCATTGAGACAGCCATGCGGTTCAGCCCAGACATGGCCTTGGCGGTGTCCACCACGCCCGCTGTGCTGCCCACCACAGACATCCAGCCTGTGGGCACCCCGTTTGAAGAGCTTCCCTCTGAGCGCCCTACTCCAGAGCCAGCTACCAGCACCCCAGTGGTGACAGAGGTCCCCGAAGAGCCCAGCCAGAGAGCTACCACCATTGCCACCACCATACCTACTACTGCTGCCACAAGTGCAGACACCCCTACTGTGGCCACCATGCCTGCCACAGAGCCCACTGCTGCCTCCAGCACCCCTGTGGCACCTCCTTCCACGGCCACCACTGCTGTCATAAGGACAACCAGCGTACGGAGGCTTCTGCCACTTCCACTGACCACAGCAGCCACGGCCCGGGCCACCACCCCAGCGGCCCCCTCGCCCCCTACCACCGTGGCTGTGTTGGACACAGAAGCCCCGACACCCAGGCTGGTCAGCACAGCTACCTCCAGGCCAAGAGCCCTACCTAGGCTGACGACCACGCAGGAGCCTGATGTCCCTGAGAGGAGCACGCTGCCCCTGGGCACCATTGCTCCTGAACCCACAGAGGTAGCACAGGTAAGAGAGTTGTGAGAGGACCAGAAGTGGGAGCAGAGGAGAAAGGGGTTGGGGCTGGCAAGGTGGGGACCTGGAGGTGTTTGGAGATGGCATGTATCTTGGGGGGGGGGGAGGCAGATGGTTAAGGGCAGATGCAGGAGCCAGGCTGTCTGGATTGGGATCCTCCTACTGCCATTTTTTAACCATGAACATTAGCAAGTCACCGGTCACTGCTATACCTGTTTCCTGACCTGTAAGAAGGAAAATATAATAGAATGAGCATTGTAGATTGTGTGTGAGAATCAAAATTTGTCGATATGTCCCCAGTGTTTAGAGCGATGCCTGGTAATCATAAACAAAGTGAATGGCTTAGCTACTGTTGACGCTGCTCCTCTTGGTCATAGTCCTCGTCATTATTCTGGGGGTGACTGAGAGCGAGGCTGTACAGGAAGAGTGGCTTGACATCACATTTGTGGTGTGCCCGGTGTGCTGGGCCGAGTGTGAAACACTTCACCTGTGTCATCCTCGTTTCTCCTCACAGATGTGAGAACTAGAAAACAGGGTGAAAAAGCTATGTTCCCAGGTTTCACACACAGCCAGTCATGCCTCAGAGATCCCTTTAGGGCTCTGTGTGTATATGTGTGAGATATATGTATAAACAATATGCATAAACATATGTGTATAGAATGGGGCTTTGGTGCCTTTGTGGTAAGGAATTGCACAGTCAGTGCAAAGGTATGTGGTTCAACTCCACCAGCAGCTCCATGGGAGAAAGATGTCCCATCTTTCGGTATCCTGGGTGTGCTGCGTAAGGAGGGCCTGGGGAAGACTGGTGATAGCGTGAAAGCCCTTTGCAGTCAGTCTCCCCCAGAGAGGGGCTCGGACTTTGGAGCTGCTCTCGAGGTCCTTGTCAGCCCCCTCCAGCCCCATGTCAGTCCCTTAACATGTGGGCTCCAGCTCGTGGTGCCCACCGTGGCTCCCCTAAGCAGCTGAGACAGCGTGGTATTTTCACAGAGACTTTTGGTCAAGCAGGAAGTGGAAACAGACGGTGTAGAGCCCGAGCTGGCCAGCTGGTGTGTAGAGACCAGGCTGCTGGCCCAACTCCTGTGTACTGTCCAGACACTAGGCCGACCCTCTCCATGACCACCAGCTCTGATGGTTCCCACTGCCCATTTTGGCGTGTTGGCTCTCAGCCCTGGCCCTGACTTCCTGTGGTGGAAACCATCAAGACTTGTGGTTAATGGGCTGGTTCCCAGGACACCTGCCCCACTGCTTGGTATCCTCCTGCTCTTTAACTGAACTCCAGGCTGAGGGACTTACCTTGGCCTCAGGCACGTGGACCAGGGACCAGATCCAAGTGCATGGCTGCTACACCCAGCAGTCCCCAAATGACTCTGGATGAGAGCCCTCCTCCCACCCCTGGAAATGTTACTAAGGCAACCAGAGGGGGAAGTGACAGGATGGGATGGGGACAGGATATGGCCAGAGCGAAAACAGAGGCAGCTTTACATATTACAAACACAGGCTTGGCGTTGCACACTCAGGGTCGGAGTTCTGCTTCTGCCACTTACTGTGTGACCTTGGGCAAGTCACTTGACCTCTATGCCTATTTCCTTCTTTCTAAATTGGGGACAATAACTCCTCCTTTATGGGGATGCTGTGAGGCTAAAATGCATGGCAGGTACTTAGTACAGTGCCTAACACATAATAAATGCTTAAGTAAAGGGGCTGATGTCCGCGGAGGGTGAGGAGAGGGGCTACCTGTGGAGGGGATGCTGAGGTCTCGCTCCTGGGTTCATGCTCTCTTCTCTGCAGACCCCGACTCCAGAATCCTTCCTGACCACGATCCGGGAGGAACCGGAGGTGCCTGTGAGTGGGGGCCCCAGTGGGGACTTTGAACTGCCAGAGGAAGGGACCACACAGCCGGACGCAGCCAATGAGGTAGTGGCCGTGGGAGGCCCCGCGGTCAAGCCCTCCCCTCCACCTGGAGTGCTGCCCAAAGGTGCCCGCCCAGGCCCTGGCCTCCTGGACAATGCCATCGACTCGGGCAGCTCGGCTGCGCAGCTGCCACAGAAGAGCATCCTCGAGCGGAAGGAGGTGCTCGTAGGTGAGGCCTGGGGCTTGATGTGACCCACATGAAGGCAGCTGGGGGGGTGGGTGCTGTTTTGTCTCTAGGAACGCAGAAAGGAGTCAGGATGTGGGTTTCGGGGAGCTAGATAGGAAGCGAAAGCTGGGGACTTAGCACTTCCCCCACCCCCCAGTCTGCCCCTGACAGCACCTCTGTCCACCTCCAGCTCTTTCTTCAGTGCACTCTGACCTCTGCTTCCCTAAGCCACGCTCATTGACTTCATCTCCTGGAGCCTGATCTCTGACCCCATCCTTTGTCTTATTTGCTCCCAACCTGTGGCCTCATCTCCTAAACTCCCAACTCCTGGTCCCAAATCCTGGCCCTCCACTCATGAACCATGTGGCGTAGGCATGAACAGTGTGGCCTCAGCTTGCTAGATGTCCTTCAGCCCATTTGGAGCAGAGACACTGTCATTTTGCGCTTAGCCAGTTCCATGGGGCATTCCTGCTCATATGTCAACTCTGCAGTTAGAATATGTTGTCGTTTCATTAAAGGAACCTTCGTGGAGCAATAGTTTAGCATCTGACTACTAACAATAAAGGTTGAGGGTTTGAACCCACCTAGCAGCTCCGAGAGCTCTGGTGGCTTGGTGACAAGGAATTGTGCTGCCAACACAAAATCTACCTCCTACATTGAAGGAGAAAGGTGGGCAAGCTCCTCCTGTGCACTTTACTATACACTGAAAACCCTCCACAACAACAACAACAACAACAACAACGGCGGCTCCAGAGGAGACAGACCTGGTAATCCACCTCCATAAAGATCCCAACAGGAAACCCTGTGAGGCGGTTCTGCTCTGTCACGAGGGGCCATGATGAGTCACCATCTACTCAGCAACACACGTACACACACAACACCATTTAATTGCAGTGGGTTTTCCTTTGTAGGGGCGTATAAGGGAGCTCTGGTGGCGAAGTCTGTAGGGAGTTACACGGCTAACAGAGGCTGTGCCTCTGCCGATTCAAATCCAGCAGTGGCTCTGTAGGAGGAAGATGAACAATCTCTTCCTGGGGTATTTACAGCTTCAGAGCCTCTGCTGGAGAGGTCAGCTCTGAGTGGATTGCAATTCGATGGCAGTGAGACAGACAGAGAGGAGAATATAAAACAGTGCATCTTTGGGTTGAGGGGATCTTACATTTGATGAAACTATCGCATCCTTGAGAGGCTGTTTGGAGGATTCAGTGATTGAATGTGTGTCAAGTGCCTGGAAGGAACGAGGCCTACAGAGAAGGTGAGTTAGAGGAAGGCAGTGCTGGCGGCGTTAATACTAAACCATCTTTACTCCAGCACTTGCCTCAAATGTGGAACTCCCAGATGCCAGAACCCCTCTTCCCTTCCCAGGCTTTACCCTGGCCTACTAGCTTCTGAACCCTATGCTCTGTGTCTCCCTCCACAGCCGTGATCGTGGGTGGCGTGGTGGGCGCCCTCTTCGCCGCCTTCCTGGTTACATTGCTCATCTACCGCATGAAGAAGAAGGACGAGGGCAGCTACACGCTGGAGGAGCCCAAGCAGGCGAGTGTCACATACCAGAAGCCCGACAAGCAGGAGGAGTTCTATGCCTAGTGGAGCCCAGCGGAGCCGCAGTGCCTGCCTGCAGCATCAGCACCGCCCTCGCCCAGTCCCTCGCTGGTCCAACCTGCCCAGGTCTGGGACTGGCCCCGTGAGGGGACCTGGTCCCCACTCTTGTCTGCCCTCTCTTCTAAGGCCTGCCCAGGCTGCCGCACAGCAATCTTCCCTGAGGGGCAGGGGGCACTGCCATCTGCCCCAGACCATAGTCACAAGCTCATCTCCTGCCCCCACCAGCCCTGAACTCACGTCAGCTGGACAGGAGAAAGGGAGCTCCTAACTGGCTGGTAGAAGAAGGGATAGGGCTTGAGATGGGCTTGTGTTCCAGCTGACCCCCGCTATCGGAGCAGAGCTCTCTGACTGGTTTCTGGAACAAACACTTGGCAAACTCAGTCCTTGAAATCACCTAGATACAGCCACCCTTTGTTCCTGTCCCATGCCCCTCTCTGCTTTGGTGAAAGGGTGTCTTGTGTCCCTTGGCTTTGCTGGGGTCATGGGATCACGCCCACCCCACGTACATACTCCCACAGGCTTACTTCTGTCTACATCTTCCCTGAAGGTAACAGCTTCTTGAAGGTGGCCCAGGCAGCTACAGGTTAGGCAGGCAGCCTGGTGTCCTTCTTGCTAGAGGACTCCATAGTCACCTCCCACCCTGTCACATGCTGCCACACAGTCACAAGACAAAAATAAGCAATGATAAAATCACACCCAGCCAATCTGGCCCATTCTCTCATACAACCACACGCAACAGAAGATTCTCCCAAAGACTCTCATGCATCCCTTATGCACCCCCAGACAATAATGACCATGTCACCACTCAGTGACAGTGTGGCTGCCCAGTCTCTTTGCTCTCCCTCTGCCCTCACTTTCCACTCGCACTACGGCTCCACTCACCTTGTCTCTTGACTTTTGGCTCACGGGGTCCGTGGAATCAGGCCTGAACAATCAGCCCATATTGGGTCACCCCCAGTTTTTGTGTTCAATCACCCACCACAGCACACACACCAACCACATTGCCACCATCTTTGCCCGTGTTGGACACAGACCCGTGTGGATGCACGCTCTCACCCTCCACAGCCTACTCACGTCCTGGAGGGAGATGGCTGGCCTCCCTAGAAGAAAGCCTGGTGCCGGGGGTAGTGGTCAGAAGCCCCCTCAGGGCATTGCACACGGACTGGACCTGGCCTGACCATTTCCAGACCACGAAGGGAGACAGTCGGGGTTAGCCCCTCGCTGCCTGGGAGCCTGGAGGCCGAGCCAGTATCAACTTGTTCTTGGATTTAGCCTCAGGCTGTAGAGGATTCTTGGGCCTGCCAGAACTGAAGGCCCGGATTAGGGGATGTGTATGGTCTGGCTCCTGGTCTCCCTGCCCACCTCTGCTCTGAGGGAGGGGCCGACCCTGCCTCCCAGAACATCAAGTCTCCAAAGTGCCTGTGCGGGCCGGCCCTGCCGTCTGGCCCCTCCGCACCCTCTACCAGTGGCCTCACCGGGCCCTCTGCCCTCATGAACACCTGCCCACCCACTGGGCCTTACAACCCAGCAGTTCTGGCTTCAGCGGGCTGAGTCCCTGACTAAGAGCAGCCCATCCCAGCAAAGCAGCCCCGGCCCCAAGCACAGTTTTGAGACATCAGAGCAGGTGGCAGGCGGTATCATAGCCCCCAGCCTGCCTACCCTTCTGTGCTGTCCTCACAAGTGGGGTCATTTCTGTAGATATTTTAAATGTAGAGTCACATCCCCTTGCGGGGAGGGTGTGCTTGGCGGGGCACTTGGAGCCAAAGGGATGTGGTGTGAGCTATGATTGACTGGGGCTCACACCCACCCCCCTCCCCACCCAGACCCAAGTTAGGAACCCAAGTTTTATTTCTCTTCACTTTTCAGAACTCCCTGGCAGGAGATTCTGCAGGGTAAGGTTCCAGGGGGCCGCCTCCAGCCTGTCTTCTCCATGGTTCTACTTGCTGGGCTCCTTCTGGTCGACCTGAAGATCCTCTCGGCAGGATCTGGAGGCTTGGGAGGAACCCAGCCTTTGAGGAGGGGGTGGGGAGTGAAGGGGAATGGCTTTGTGGGGCCTGGGACATGTGTAGGAGGTGGCCTGGCCTCCAGCATCCCGGGAGCAGGAGAGCTGTGGCATAGTGAGTGGAGGAGAGCCCAGATCCCAGCCTCCCTCTGCCCTGCTTCCTGGGCGGGCTGCTGTCTTGAGGGCAGTGGCTTTGGTGAGAAGGCCTGCGCAGGCCGAGGCTGAGAAACCAGGAAACGTGGAGGAGGGTGGACCTGGACCTGGGCAAGCGAGGACATCCTGGTCCCAGAGGAGGCTGGGACAGTGAGCCACTGGTGGGGGTTGAGTGCAGCACAGGAGTGACCACTGAGGTCCAAACGGGTTGATCCAAGTGTGGAGTGGCCTAATTAGTGTAGCTGAGCCAGAGCAGGCCCGCCGCTTTCCATCCTGAGGGCTTGATACCAACGTGGCACTTGAGCACTTTCCTCCTAGTGCGGGCCTCTCTAGGTCTTTAGCGTTTGTGAGAACAGGCCGAGCACCTTATTCCCAGAGCCCGGGACCCACAGCAGATGTCTAGGCTGCTTCCCTAGGAGGTTGAGGACAGTCTGGCCAGCCCCGTCTGGCGAGGCATCCAAGAGCTGAGTGGAGAGGATGGGCTTGTGCTCTCCAAGGTGCAGTGTGAGGATGTGGGGTTGTCGCTTGCTGGCCAGAGGTGAGATGTGGGCAGGACCTGCCCAAGATATCAGACCCCTGGTACTCCCTAGGAAGGGGCCCACAGAGCCCCACACTTCCTGGGAGCAGGGTGGATCCCCAATGAGAGGGAACTATGTAGCTTTAGAACCCTTTGGGGCCTTGGCTGCCTGAGAGTACAAGGCAGGCTGTGGACTAGGGAGATGGGGTTTGGGCCTTTCTTGCACTGGGGTGAGGCTGTGTGTGGCCACTCCACCCATTGGCTGTGACTTCTGGAGCCCAGGGGACTGGGGGATGGAAGTATGAGCTCTCTGGGGTACTGAAAGCAGGATCCCTTAGTGCTGGGGGCAGGTGGTGGCAACCAGGGTTGGGCCTGGCAGCTGTGGGTAGGAGCCTGGGTGCCCAGACAAGACCCCCTGGGTTTGGCAGGCCTCCTTGTCCAGGCTTCTGGGCACAGGAGCAGCTGCTGCCTATGGCTTAGCTGGTTTTCCCTCAGCCAGCCCCCTGCCGGACTTGCCTCCCAGGCCTCCTGCCTGTAAATAGGAGCCCACAAACTGTACAGATTTAGAGATGCCAGGACTGGGCCTGGAGTCCTCTGAGGGCTGAGGGCTGCAGCATCCCAGGTGCCTGCCCGGCTCCTCTGGGCACTGGCCCCAGTGTGGCAAATGCATGTAAATACTTCTTGTAGGCAGTGAGGCTCCAGAGAGCCCCTGAAGAGTGTCGTCCCCCTACCCCGTGCACCCCTCTGTACAGAGCCCTTGAGAACCTGGCCCGGGACCTGGTGGGACTTTGCCCTCCCGTTCCCTGGGCCTCCCCTGACCTTGCTCTGCCCTGTAACCTGTTTATTAACCATACCTGTCTTGAGTTCATGGCCAAAATGTTAAATAAGGAAACGAAGAGGACAAAGACAGTGGGAAGAGGCCAGGGCCCTGCCCCTCTGCGGACACTCCTGTCCCTGCCTTGTGAAGGAACTGGGGTGTTTTTTTTTTTGTTGTTTTGTTTTTGTTTTTTAACACTTCCTGTGCTGTGCCCATTTATAAAAGGAAATAAAATTAAGCTGAAATGACTTGCTGTGGCCAGAGTGTGAGTCAATGTAGAGGACGTTCAGGGAGGGGGAAGCCGTGATCCCACCCAGGCCGCAGCCATCTTCCACTTTGAAATCTTTTGAGAATGAAACAGAATTGACCCGCAGCCCCTCGTGGGAGCCATTATGGTGAACGCTGTAGCAGCAATTGGGAAACCACTGAGCCGTCTGTGGTGAGGCCGGGGCAGGAGATGTGGTCGGGAGGGGCCAGATTGTGGTTCACCCCCAGGGGAAGAAAGAAGTCTGGTTTCAGGCCACAAATAAGAGAATCTTGGGACCACAAGATATCAGACTCAGACCTACTGAGGCAAGTTGATTGTGAGGCAAGTCTAACAGGCCTCGTTTTAAATCTAAGTAGTGACATTTCCCAGCTCTGTCTCTGGACCAGCCTCTGCACTGAACCTCAGTGTTCTCATCTGTGGAATGGGCTAATAATAGCACCACTCCTGCTGCTCCCCTAAGCACAGTGTGGCCAGGCTGATTTTGATTCAGCCACCCTGCAGGACAGAGTAAACTGCTGTACAGGCTTTCAAAGGCAGCCTTCCTGGAAGCAGATTAGCTCACCTTTCTATCTTAGAGCTACTGGTGGAATCCAGTGCTGAACCACTGGGCCACCTGGATTCTTAAAGTGGCCAAGAGCTTCATTTAACTCCTTGAATGAGGGAGCCCTGGAGTAGGTGGGAGAAGGCTGTTCAGCACAATGCCTGGCACGGTCAGCCTCAGCTCACAGGATCTTCAGTGGCACTGTCCTAGAGAACACTATCAATGACTGCAAGTTCAATGGCATGGAATCTCATACAGACTCGCAGAACACGGGGCCAGGGAGCTGGAGGGCCCTGTGAGGTAGGCCAAGGTGGAAATGCCTTCCTCTTATCTCTGGGGGAAATTTCCTGACCTTCTATACCTCTTGTGACAAGGAGTATGGACATCTGAGGGTCAATCCTTCCTTTCAACCTAAATATCTCCTCTTTTCCTCATTCTCTCAAGGCCATGGGACAGCTGCCTAGGCATGGAATGTCATGGTCACAAACTTTCCTCTTTCAAGGGAAAATTCTTTTGTCCTATAAATATTTCTTCCAGAAATTTCTTATACCGTAATGCAGCAAATTGTTCTGGGGCGGATTGAAACCTAAGGCTTCTGCAGTTATTTATTGTTATTTACTGTCGAGTTGGAACTTTAGCTGACCCTCCAGCAGGTTTTCAGAGGCTATAAATTGCACAGGACAAGACTGCCCTTCTTCCGTGGAGCATATGGTAAGATTCAAACCACACGTCTTCAGGTTTGAAGGCTTCTAGGTTTGGTCCAAAAT